GAGGAGGAGGAGGAGGAGGCAGCAAGAGATCAGAAACCCCCCCAAGATCATCCTTGAGAGCATAACAAGTTCAAGGCCATCCTAGCCTATATGAGACTCTGGTTACTCACATCCTCTTCCCCCTTGTTCCCCAAAAAGAAAATAAAAAACTGAAGAATGTAGTTTGAGAAAGTATGTGTGTATGTAGGTATGTGTATATTTAAATTGTAAAGCAAATATTATTTAATAGTGTTAAAATATTCCATGGGTGATTTTTAGTTTTTATGTAATAATCAACCTTTTAGCAAAAACTAAGAAAATTAACATTCCTTTTGTATTGTACTAATAATATAGGACACAGATCTAACGTTCTTTACATTAACTTGAGTATCTTTCTAGGTATATGCAATGAATGCCATAAAAATTAAAAACTGAATTAACAGAAATATAAAATAGGCAAAAAGTAATTTTCTATTCAGAAATAACAGACATGGCATTTCATGTGGCAGCCTAACACTAGGAGCCCGCCAGTGTATATGGCACACATACATGTGCATGTGAAAGCCCAAAGTTGATATTAGTGCCTTTCTCATTCATTCTCCACTTTACTTATTGAGGCAGGGTCTCTAAATTAAATCTAGAACTAGACGATGTGAATAGTCTAGTTAGCCAGCTTGCCTCAGGATTTCTTGCCTCTGCCTTCCAAGTCCTGGGATCACAGGCAACCACCATGCCTGAACTCAGGTCCTCAAGTACTTCACCTACTAGGCCATCTCACTACTCCCCTAACCCACTTTCAAGCTATGGTAAGAATCTTGTAAATAAATAAAAGCCATTATTGCAATATCCAGGAAATAAGCACATGATAAAAGATACAGTTTTATAAAGAGTTTCCAAAGAGTACCCTTTCTGATATTTATTATTCTATAGTCAGTGAGCAGCTCAACTGATTAGTTATTCTTATTTTCTCAATTAATTTAAAAGGAATTCGTTTCATGAGACATTAATATAGTTGAGTGACAGAGCACTTGCCTACTGTGCTGAACACCCTGAGTTCTTGTGTGACAAGACTTTTCCTTGGGAAGACACACAAACACACACACACCTACTCACCCCAGATAGAGATCCCACAATAGATCAAAGCCCACCCCGGCATGGGTGATTTTCCAGGAAGTCCCTGAAACTGACAAGATTTCCCTAAAAAGCACTCTCAGATAAGCCAAGCTGCAGAGAAGACCCAAGACCAGACCATCTGCTTGGAAAAACCAGAAACCTGTGGAGCTGCCTGGAAGAGGCACCTGGAAAGGACACCGCAAGCTGTCAGTGTGCTCAAAGTTCCAGCCTCTGTGAGCTGCCACCCACGCCTGGGGTGGGCTCTGGTGATGCAGCTGTCTTTGAGTCATTTCTGCCCCTATAAGTAATCCCTCAGCCATATTTATAAGTAACCCCAATAAAACTCATTGGTTCATCAAGTTGGACTCTGGCTGCATCTGTACTTTGATCTGTCATGAGATCCCTATCTGGGGTGAGCAGATATGTGTGTGGCATCTCCCAGGAAAAGTTTTGTCATACAACAGCTCTGCCCCCCCCCACAACAACAACAAAAGGTTATAGTAAACTCTTCATTGTCTGCCACAGTCAAGCATTCAAAAGAGCCTAGATACCGGCCCTATCAATTGTGTTTCTTACTACTGCTAGAACAGAGTTCTACTATGTTATCCAGGCTGATCTCAAATACCTAAGCTTAAGCAATCCTCCTACTACTGCCTCCAAACATCCAGAACTATAAAACGTGTTACTGTGCCACACAGAAAACTATTTTAAATATGTATTTCTACAGTAATAGACCAGAAAAACACAAGCCATGAAACTCAAAATTATACTGAGTATCTGCACTGCACTCCACTGCCACTCACTATTCTGTTCTGTCCTATGAGATACACATTCTCCAGTTCTGCGTACATCGCGTATTCAGTTTTCACAACTAAATATACAAAGAATGGCAAGGAGAGGGGAACACACACACACACACACACACACACACACACACAAATGTATAGCTCAATAAAATAAAATATATAAAAAAGAATGGCAAAATCTATATATAGAAAATAAAATTTGCCATTATTTCTGGGGCTGGAGAGATGGCTCAAAGGTCAAGAGTTCTTGTTGCTCTTGCATCAAACCCAGGTTCAATTCACAGCACCCTTACATAAACAGCTAGGCAGTGGTAGCAGATACTTTTAATCCGAGCCCTTGGGAGGCAGAGGCAAGATGATCTCTGTGAGTTTGAGGCCAGCCTGGTCTACAGAGCAAGTTTCAGGATGGCCATAACTGTTGTTACACAGAGAAACCCCGTCCGGAAAAAATAAAAATAAATAAAAAGGGGGGGGGTATAAACATTCATTTCCACCTGAGCCTTTCAAAAGCTGATTTAATATATACCCCCACAATCAAGACATTATTACTATCTAACCACAAAATGTTGCCTAGAGAAATGATTCTGAAATGTTAAAAGTTCTGCGGAACATTTTCACACAAAGAACACTTACCTTCTTACATACTGAACACACTGAGTAAGGCTGTCACATGTGTAACTAGCTTTATTAAAAAAGAAATAAACTGTACACAACACAAAATACAGTCTGAAACCGTAAACATTATTTTATGGGAAATCTTTCCCATCATAAATTATAATTATTAGTGTTGTTACTTGAACAAGAGAAGGGATATGTTTGCATGGTAAGTGAGGTGGGAAGACCAACCACTCCTGGGCCTGGGATTCTGGACTGTATAAAATGGAGAAAGGGAACCGAACACTAGTAGGCACATTTACCCCCATTTCCTGACTATGATGTCACGTGACCAGCTGCTTCAAGCTTCTGTTGCCCTGACCTTGAACTGCAACTCTGAGAGCAACCCTTTCTCTCCCAAGTTGCTCTTGTTCTAGGACATTGCTGTAGCAACAGGAGGACACTAGACACTGTGTTCAGAGATGCTTACAATCGTGCAGTGATGATTACACGCCATAGATGTTTGAGGTAATAAAGTACTAAATCCTATAACAGAAGTTTAACCAATTTATCACAGGAAAAATCAAATTGAGAGTGAATAATCTGCCTTTGTTAACTTTTCAAAACCAAAAACACAGGGTGACCTTTAATCTTACATAGAAGATACAGGGAATATTATATAGATTCTGCTGATCAACATTCGCAGAAACTTACAGTTATCCAAGAAATAAACCTGTAGCTGATACAAAAGAGTATCTCTGATGTGAAATTCAAAACACTCTAAACCCCCAAACTTTTTGAGTAACAATCTGATGCAAATAAAAATTCCCATACCATAAAACTTTGTTATATGCACAAAATTCTATTTTTAAATACTATATAAAATTGCTGTCCGTTTATATACATTAGGTATACATGAAAAAAGAATTAATTTTAAGTTTATATTTGAATGTCATCCCTAAGATTTCTCATTACATGTATACGAATATTCTCTCAATTGAAAGAGATTGCACCACTCAAAACACTTCTGGCCCTAGTTACGTAATTCAGATAAGGGTCCAATCCGTACCGTCACTGTCACTAGTCACACTTCTACTCACTGTTCACAGACAAGAAGGCTGAAGGCTCACCAATTTACTAAAAACATACAGCTACAACTAGAAGTGGCAGAATTCATGTTCAAAATTTCCCTTCAAAAGGCTTCTGGTCCTTTTTTTATTTTTATTTTATTTTTACTTTTTTCTTATTTTTTTTTTGGGGGGGTAGGGCTTTGCTGTAGAAATTAATTCCACCAATAGTTTTGGGGTACCTGAAAACCAGGCTGGCCTGAGACTTACAGAGATGAGATTCACCTGCCTCTATCTCCCGAGTGCTGGGATTAAAGGCGTGCGCCACCAGGATCAAGGC